CCCTTACTGTTCTTTTTCTTTTTCTTTTGAGGTTCTCTTAGGAACATTATCATGAATATGTTCCTGTTCTTGGGACGATGGTTTGGATGATGATTTTTTATTTGTTTTTTTCGATTGATCACGTATGTTGTCAATAACTTCCTGCAATTCATCAAGTGCTTCGTTGTTTTTGTTTGTGGATTTTTTATTTTTTGAAATTCTTTTTGATGATCGTGTTTGTTGAGAAGTTTTCCGTGATGATGGGGGTTTTTGCAGTGGTAATGGTGGGGTTTTAGAGGATTGTTTAGATCATTTGTTTGATCGTCGTCCCGATGTCTGTGATAATGGCGTTTCCTCTTGCTCCAGCTCGTTTATCTCATCCTCACCCTCTTCTTCTTCATCAGATTCAGCATTTATATCTAATTTATCGACATTGAGACCTTAAAAGAAAAATTTAAAAAATTTTCTAAAAAATTCCGTTTCATAAAAAAAAAAAGAGAACGGTAATACTCAATTACCATAACTTTGTTTACTTTGTTGACTTTGTTCCTCCTCTTCGCTCTCTGATTCCGACTCATCATCTGATTCTTCATCAATAGATTTATGGACTGAGGGAGATTCTCGCTTTTCGTCTTTAAGTGTCCACCAAATTAAATTTGGTGGTGCTTTCTTATTTTTCCAAAATTCATCTTTAAGGATACGAAGACGTACTCTCTTATTTTCTGGAAAATATTTTTCTACGTACTCGTCAATTGAATGTAGAAGGTTCGTTAACTAAAAATAAACGTGTATTAGAAATAGATAAACTTCTGTTGTTTTTGAGGTTTGGCATTTTTCTAAAATTCGAAAGCATGCAAAGAAATTGATATGCTGAGATTTGGCGAAACTAGAAGCACCAATCACGTATTGATAAAGACATTTTAGTGTTACTGCGCATAAACAAAATGAATTGTCTGACTTACTTCATCAGATCTCCATGATAATTTGTAAACAAAAAGGTTTTTGTGGTCTGTGGATGCGTTTGGATCATTCTCCAGATCACTTTATTCAGGAGAGTGGTATTCGTTCTTGTTTATTATTTCATTAATATCCTTGATCCCGCGTTTTTTAAAAGATTTTCGATAATCGAGGTGATTTTTCATGGCTAATGCGCCCTTCATCCTTCGTTCTCGTTTCTGAAATTAAAATAACTATTAGTAATTTTCAATATTACCTAAAAATTTGGAACTTGATTAACTTACTTTCTGATAAACGGTTGATTATATGGCTCATTATTTTTTTTTGTTTTATTTCTGCCTCGTTAAGCTGGCTTTCTTTCCATTTACGTTGGCCATTTTTATGCAAATCTGAGAACACATCCCAAACTATACTTAATGTTGCATGAATACCACGTTGTTCAAGAAGTGATTGGATACGGGGAATCAGATCCTTTTCCAATTGTGGTGCAATCTCGCCAAACTTCTTTGTATAATTGATGGGAATTTCATCAATTTTTGCGCTACAAATTAGAATTTTAATTTCGTTCTATAAAATGAAAATTGATAAAATTAATGAGTTTAAACGTCACATAAATAATAAAAATATACCAAAACAAACTTTTATTTCTTTTCGATGCTTTTTATTATATTGTTTTTGTAATGTCTCTTGCAACGAATGTAGATCTTTTTCAGGGATATATTCCTCATTGTCTTGTTTATCAAGTTCATCTTCGTCATCGTCATCATCAACCTGAATATATTCTATTTGTCGATTTTGTCGTGAACGTTCTTGTGAGTTCAGAGAACGCTCTAGCATTCTCGTTATTTGCCCGAACCCAGTGGACATTTGTTCTTGAATTGACGACATTCCCCGTTCAAGTCGTAAAATACGTTCTTAATGTACAAAAAAATAGTAATTTTTAAATTAAGTTTGCTATTTAATCAAAATTTTGAATGATCTGCCAAATTATCCGTCAAAACGTAAATTATACCTTCAGTATTCAGACTTGATGACCTATTTAATCGATTACGATTGTGTATTTTACTGGTAAAAAAATGATTTATCCTACACATATCTTACACATATTGGGTACTCAAAATGTAGAAAATCATACACAAATAATACACATATCATACACATATCGGGTACTAATATATATATCATACATATATCAGGTACCTGATAGGTATACTATATATATAAGTACCCGATATGTGTATGATATGTGTATTATTTGTGTATGATTTTCTACATTTTGAGTACCTGATATATGTAAAATATGTGTAGGATATGTGTAGGATAGACCATTTTTTTACCAGTGTTTGGTCGATGGATTCGGCTGAATTTAAGTGTGATAAAGAGTGAACTGTCTGAATGCCTTGTCCATCATGAGAAGCGTCGATGAATAAAGGAGAATGTAGTGTACGAGTACGACGTGTTAACGAACTTCTTTTTTTGGTCATTATCAGAAAAGAAATGAAGTAAAAGCTAGAAATGTGGAAGGAACGAAAGTAAAATTGAAGAAACGTAAAGTAAAAAAAGAGTTGAGTAAAAAAAAAATTAGAAAGAAACAAAAATAAAATAATTTGAAAATTGTAAAGACGATTTTAATGTAAAGGAACAAAAATTGCAAAATCGACGTTTGTATTGTAAAAAAAAAAATCACTCTTTATATATTTATTCCAATTAAATGTTTTCTTCGCGTAATTGTTGAAATAATTTAATAATTTTTGAATTGTTCTATTTTGGTCATTGCTGATTTTGGAAAGTAGTTAAATAGTTAAATGATTTGAATTGTTCTATTTTGGTCATCACTAATTTTGGAATTAGTTAGCCAATCGCTAAGTATATTAAGAATATAATTAAAAATAATTTGGTATTTAATATATAAATTTAGTCAAACAAGGTTACGAGGAGTATACTGAAAGTTAAATTTATTGTTATTGCTGATATATTTAAGTATATAATTAAGAATAATTTGGCTATAAAAAGTTAAACAAGGAGTATACTGAAAGTTAAATTTTATTGTAGATCTGTTAAAATGTAACATATTCACTTTCGATTATGTATTGATCTACAATTGATGTATTGATGTTCGAAAAAAATATACAATTGATGTATTGAAACTCGAAAAAAAATAAAAATGTATATACAATTGATGTATTGATGTTCGAAAAAAATAAAAATGTATCGTCTGATTATTTATTACAGNCAAAAAAAGTGTCGAAAAAAAATAACATTCTAACGAAAAATGTAACATTTGACCAAAAAAACATGAAATTTGCATGAAATTTGCTAAAAAATGCGGAATTTTCATAAAAAATGTACCATTTGGCAGAAAATCGGAATATTTGACAAAAAAAAAGCAAAATTTGATTTTAATTGACAATGTTATAACAATGTTATAAAATGTTGTTACAATGATATTACATTGGTGGCAAAATGCGGAATTTTCATAAAAATGCACCATTTGACAAAAAAAAAGCAAAATTTGATTTAATTGACAATGTTATAACAATGTTACGAAATGTTACATTTGAGGTGTAATGTAGCATTTTTCTAAAATTTCATAAGATTTGCTAAATCGGACAATGTTGTAACAATGCTATTCCAAAAAATTGCTCAGCATAATGTAGCATTTTTCACAATTTCCCACCATTTTCCAGAAAAATGGGGAATTTGCATTTTTTAAATTTTGGACAATGGTGCCCTTCGACGACCTAATTTAATGTATCCATTTGCTGGAATCAATCAACAACTTGCCACTATGTTTTGTCAGCCTGGGTTTGAAAATTCTCTCCGACATTGGGCTAATCGGTCAAATTTTGATAATATTTTGACCGATATATATGATGGGCAAGTGTGGAAGAATTTCAAAAAATCGGACAATGAAGATTCGCCAAATTTTTTCAGAAGCGAAGTGGCTGATTCTCATCTTAGCTTGATGCTGAATCTTGATTGGTTTCAGCTATATGATAGTACCATTTATAGTATCAGTGTCATATACACCGCTATATGCAATTTGCCACGCAATATCTGATTTAGACGTGAAAATTTATTGACTCTCGGCATTTTACCTGGGCCAAAGGAGGTCAGCCTACATAAAGTGAACTACTATTTAGCACCAATAGTTAACGAATTGGAAACACTCTGAGCTGGGTTAACACTAAATCGTACTTATGAATGCGAAACACTGGTAAAAAAATGGTCTATTCTACACATATCCTACACATATCTTACATATATCGGGTACTCAAAATGTAGAAAATCATACACAAATAATACACATATCATACACATATCGGGTACTTATATATATA